GTACTTCTTTTCACTAGTAAAAAAAAGTAACTTTTATATTTCTAATATTAGTGGATTATGTGTACGGTAGTAGAAAAAATATTGTATGCCACTCGTGTGTAAAGTCCCTTTCGTCTTACACACTTGTTGCATAAATAACTATTTTTAATGTAATATATTTGTCGGGAAATTTTCCAGTCGAGGAATTGTTTGTCGGGGAATGTTCCAATCGGGGAATTTTCCAGTCGGGGAATTGTTGTCGGGCAATTGTTGTCGGAGAATTGTTGTCGGGGAATTTTCCTAGACCCCGTAAATTTATCTGGAAAATTTTGCGGAAGTTTTGATATGTTGTGATTCTAAGTATTTTGAGCTGCTTTTCCTAATTTTTATTTTGCCACCTCATATCTTCGCCGCTGTCGCCGCCATATTGCAATAAATTATAAAAAAAGAGATTTTTCAAGATATCTCGCTACCTGTTGCTTTTGCAGTAAAAATGGTTATGTAATAAATTAAACTACATCATTTTATCTACCAAATTGGTCTCTATTATTTTTTTTTTTTTGTAAAACCAACCGTATTACAAAGTTGAGTAAGTAGGCATCGTGAAAAGCAATAAGAATTTTATTCATTGAGCCTACCGCTTGAATCTAAAAGTTGGATACGAATCTCGTAAGTTGATTGACACCTTGGCTTCACTGGGATTTTGTTCCTCGTACAAGAAAGCAACACTTTTTGAAGTTCCGACTTTGATGCGCCCTTTTTTGTGTATTGACGGGAGTGCCTTTTAAACAGTTAGTTTTCGACAATTCGGACTTTAATACTCAAACCCTGGATGACAGAAACACTTTTCATACCATGGGAGGCATACATTGTATAACGCCCGCAAATGCCACTGCTCCTGATCAGAATATTCCTCGTCTCACAAAAATGCCGTCAGCTCAGTACGTCGAAAATTCTGGTAGCATTGCACTACAAAACTTTTCCAGTTTACAGGGAATTCCTATTATAGATCTCCGTACTATTTCTTTAGTCGCAAATACAATAATGTTGTCAACTTCAGATCTGCTGTGGCTCTACGAGAAATGGACTGATTTGCCCAATATACCTGGATGGAATGGATTTATGGAAGAAGTGACAGCAGATTTATATCAGAAATCTTTTATAGCTTGTTTGCCTTTCAATAATTCACCACCGACTAACTCCGATACGATTTTTACTGTTTTAGCAGTCATTAAATCAGCAAACAGGGGGGTGGGTTGGCTCAGTGGTTAGAGTCATGACTTTGAGATCGGAAGGTCTCAGGATCGAATCCCACCGTTGGCCGGGATTTTTTTATTTAATTTAATTATTTAAAATTAATTCTGATGCCTTGGTAGGATTCCCCACTCGACCATTCACTGTTGGGTTCTAATTAACAGTGCTGTTCCTAAACTGGCGCAAGGAAACAGTAACAAGGCCTGTCTGTAGGGGTGTGGGAGTATTAGAGTACTAATACTTCTACACTATGGAGTATTAGACTACTAGTACAATCCATAACCTACATAGAACACTAGGCTAATGACCTTAGATGTTGAAGCCGTACACTAAAGAAAAAAAAAAAAAATCAGCAAACATGTTTCATCACTTTTGATTAGCCACTGTATTTTAAAGAAAAACAAATTGTCTGTTCGAGTGGCATGAAAGCAAAATTGAAAAATGTCATACGATTAGGTGGCTTTCATTTGTTGATGTCGTTCATGGGAGCCATAGGATATATTAAGAATGGTAGTGAATTAACCGAGCTTCTTAGTACAATTTTAGCACCAAACTCACTTGAAAAGATGTTATTTGGACAGGGATTCTTATGTGCGAACTCAACACGTAACGAATCAAATAGAAAGAGACATTACATAAGAATCGTATTCTGTGAAACGAAGATAGTCGTCTCAACACATGCCGTATTGAAAGATGAGAATCCCAATGCAGGTCATGCATGCTCTCGTGCGTGCAGCGTACATGTGATAGTCCATCTCGCAAAATTGATCATGCAGGAAATTGATTTATCACCAAACAAACACGCAAGACTAGAAGCAATTCTATGCGATTTCGACAATACTTGGAGCAGACCAAGAAGAATGCGTCAAAGAATTAGCTTCAAAATTTGAAAATCATCTAGTAACGTGGTCCAACTGCTAAATTATGGATTTCTTACTTTCGCATGGTATCAGTCGTGAAACAATTTATTGAGACCGAAAGAAGCTGAAACTGGGACCTTCATCCTATCAGTATCTAGCAAATGTTATCCTATTTTCATACCAGTGGTAATTTTTTGTACGCTAAATGTGGCCATTTATATTTACAGGATATCTATAGTTTAAAAGAAAAGATGAATCCTACAGAATACAGGTCTTTTACAGATGGAGGGCGCTTCACAATTAGACGTTCTGTCAAATTTTGGTGTGGCACATGGTCAGACATGGTTATTAAGCATTCATTAATGCGAACGATAAAAACCGTAGGTTGACTAACTCGTGGGCGGGGAGTCCAGGAGAGCGTACTTTCTAGGTGGACTATGGGAATGTTATTCTTGCACAATATTTGTAACGTGGTTGAAAATTTTTGCAATATAGATTTTAGCACTTTGTAACAGCATTTTGAATAGAAAGTTCTCGGATTAATCATGATAACAATACCGTAAAAAAATTATGATTTGGTTTTCCCAACATTCGCCTTTCCTGCAATTAAAGAACTTATGTCAATAAGTACTGAAGTCATTTTTGCTGTAAAAGCAGCTAGTAACAAGATATCTTTAAAAAAACTTATTTTTTTTTACAATTTATTACAATATAGCGGGGACGACGGCAAAGTTACGAGGTGGCAAAATAAAAAATCGAAAAGAGCAGTTAAAAAATACATAAAATCGCCAAATATCAAAACTTCCGCAAATTTTTCCAGCTAAAGACAATATTATACACGGAATTACTGGAGTATATATAGAATAGAAAAAAGAGGACAAATATCTAAGCCTAAGCCTGGACAACAAATTTTTCTGAAATACGCATGAGGCGGAACTAATAAATAAGGCCAATAAATGGTGCGCAGGAACATTGCGGGAAAAAGATGGGGATGTAACTCTGACACTTTGCTATTGATGTATACAGCAACAGCGAGATCAATCATCACTTACAGGGCTTTAGTCTAAAGAAAGAGAACTATTTTAGCTACTCTCAAAAGTACAGCCTGTTTTTGCATCACCGGTGTAATGAAAAAATGTCCTACGGCCGTAATAAAGGTGATCTTCTTTAACCTCACACATTTACAGTTAATGGTAAATAACCTAATAAAAATAACAAGATATAAAATGATTAGAAACGGAGTAATCAGATGGAAGTTTATTAGCTCCAGGATCACAGATACCTGAAATATGCCCTAGGACGAAATGAGAAAGAAGCTTCAAAATAGAGTAGATCAATCGTGTTTGCAACCAATAAGCATGTTTTGCAGTGGTATACGAATGATTCCAAAATCACTGAATGAACTGGAATAAAAGTGTATGGGCCTAGAACCAAGTACTCTGAAAGTTTGGATAAATACCAAAGCATCTTCCATGAAAAGTTCATGCCATTGAGAAGTGTATCCAGTTAAACATATATAAAGACTATCGCAGACAAGAGATTGTCATCATGTTCGATAGCCACCAAAGCGCTGACTTCTTAATCAGCTCAAACATAGTTTGGAGGTGCATAAAAAAAATAATGAGCTAGTCTATCAAAATATAGTTACTCTTAGTTGAGTCTCAGCACCTAACGGGGAAAAGGGTAACGAAATTGCAGAATTGCAGATAGTCTTGCAAGGAAAGGTACCCAACTGTTTTGCAATATCAGCAGTAACACAATATTTGAAAGTTTAGAAAGAATCGACTATTAAAATTATCTTTTAAGGCTAAGCAGACTAAGATACTTCTGTATCAGGCAAAACTATTGCCATATACTCTGATAGCCAAGCAGCTCTAAAGGCAATTCTCTCACCAGAAATCAAATCACGACTGGTTAAAGACTGTCTAGAAGACCTGACAGAGCTAAGTAGTCAAAATAAGGTGACCTTAGCCTGAATTCCAGGCCATGAGGAATATCAGGGCAACGAAAAGGCCGACGAATTAGCCCGAGAAGGCTATCCAAGACTGAGACAGGCCAAACAGTTCATCAAGGAACCATCGGCCAAGTTTACGAAAGACCTACTGGATCAAAAACGTCAAATCGTTAGGATAACAGTAGGCCTTCTTACTGGACACTTTCGCCTCAAAAGGCACATGAGTATCATAAATCCAGCAGAAGAAGCAACTTTGTGCAGGTTCTGTGAAGAAGAAGAGGAAGCATCATTCCACGTCCTGTGCCAATGTGAAGGCTTGGCTGGAATGAGGTTTCTAACATTGGGCGAAGAAAAGCCAATTGCATGCAACTACATGCGGGAGCCACTGTCAAAGCTACTAAGTCTAATAAAAAAGACCAGGCTAGACGACATACTCTAAAACAAACGGAGTCCCACAATAGATCTGAAAAGGTCGCGGTGGACAAGGACAAATAACGTCCAACTCCTAATCTAATCTAATCTAAGATACTTCTGCCTATAACCAGAATAAATCGAAAAGAAATCGAAAACCTTTATTTGTCTGAGCCAGAATATGCTACACATGCCCTAAAATTTATCGGGCACAGCCGACTCAAAGGATACCTTAGTAAACCTGGACTAGTAGAAAATAGTGAGTGCAAATTCTGTGATGAGGGAAAAACCTTTATTCTCATTCGGACTGAACGTGTAGCACTACAAATCCCACAGGCACTATATTTAGGAGCATATCAAATAGAAGCCTCCAGAAATCCTACACTTGAAGGGGACATAATAGATTTTTATGTCGCAGTTTAATTACATCCCATACAACACGTAACATAGATCTCCAGAAAAATAAATTACTGGGCCGCAACATAAGTTAAAGACAAAACTTTAAGTATAATAAGATAGATAGGTTCAAAAAATAGTCTTACAAGAATCTTGCAAAGTTAGTTAACATCGTAATCAATCTCTTCTGGACGATTTGATCCATTTCAGGATATTTAGTCAGATCCGTTGTATTTAAACCTCCATAGTTACGCCTTAAAATGTAGCTGATATCTTCACCATGTCTAACGTCTTGAGAAAATCCAATTACTAAAAAAACCTTCTATTATAGTCAATATAAGTCGTTGTTTATAATAAAGAATGATCCATAAAAATGTTTTTATAGTAGGGCATACGAGAATTTTGACAAGGCGTGCTTTAAAAATATTTTTTGTGGATCACTCCTTATAAGTGAAGAGAATTACATTTTAATATTTCATGCAATTATTTATTTATTTAAACATACTTAACCCAATTCCGTCCTTAAAACGGACCTGAACTTACAACGCTAAAGGTGTGTACCTATATAACGGGCCGGGCCGGGCCGGGCCAGGGCCAACAACCGGTGCAGATTCGTCAGATTTGTACGGTGTCGTATATCTACCCCGGGATGGAAAGCAAACGGTCCTACTTCGATCTTATTTTCCCCGGCCCGTTGTAGGTCCGTTGCTTTCCATCGCGCGGTAGATATACGACACCGTACAAATCTGACGAACCTGGGCCCGTTGTTGGCCCGTTTCGTTAGAGGAAAGTACAGCAGAGTCATAGATGACGACAGTTGCCGAAACCAACCTTAATGGGACAGACTCTAGGTATCATAATAATTATAAAACTAGCATGGCCATAAATGGCAATAAACTAACCAGGTTCGTTCACATATCCACCCAGAACACCATGGTACTCAAAGGAATATAAATAAACATCATTCCATCTTGACTGAAGCTCAGCTGCTTTAATAATAGACCTCGCAAAGCACTGGTCGCTATAATACTAAAATGGTTATTATTATTAAAATTATATTTCCCAAGCTTAAGTAACTCATACTATCTGTTACATAAATTTTGCGAAATACCGAACTTACTGAGTCAAGTCATATGTATATTATGAAAGAACTTGTTGAGTTTCGTCAAATTATTTGACATGTCACATTTTTGTTAGAACTTTGCAATATTGCATACAAATTTATTTAATATTCGAAAGACTATAACCTAATAGGTAGATAAGCAATGGCTTAGGGCCAAAAACGCTTTACAAAATGAAAAATGTTTTCGACTAAAATTTGCAAGAAATTAAGCATTCCTGGATGTACATGCCTATCACAGTTAAGATTTTATTTTCTCTAAATTTACCTCTACACGACTCTCTCATGTACAAACTGAGCATAATCTGCATTATTCTTTTATGTACTAAAAAAAAAACCTTTCAATTGAATTGCTCCCACCATATAATATTATCCCATATCTAATTCTGGATTTAAATTTTGCAAAGTTAATTTGACAAACAGAGGAATTGACCGAATTGCCTTCCTAACACTAATGCGATTAGTCAGATAAATAATTTGTGTCATTGAAAACCTTAGATAAAAGAGACCAGAGATATAACATACACCGGTTTTAAACCTGCGCAAATGTTGCCAATTTCTAAAGAAGGGTTAACGGAGTGGGGGAACTGGGCGGCGACACGCGGCGACCCGAACTCTGTGACAGGGACCGGACTTTGTTTATTAGCATCTTAATGAACTATTAGGTTTATTTAAAAGGTGTTTAATCGAATTTTGTATTATGAAATAAAATTAACGTGATTTTTTAATATCAAACAGATGCCACGACATTTTATGTAAAGAGAAGACCTTTTATAGAATATTTCGTTAGCGTTTATTTACTACGGACTTTTCTGCAAGAGATTACAGTAAAATGTTGAAATAGTATATTGTTAATAGAGCAAAAAATGTTACTCATTGTCTACGAGTATTATAAAAATAGCATGTGCGCAGGCTAATACTGCAAATCTACCCTTATGAGTTGAACATTATATTTTTTCTACGGCTATTACATATTATTAAAAATTAGTCAAAATGAGAAAATGCTGTTTTGTATTGTAACCTCAGAAAAAAGTATATTAAGGCTTCTTTCTTTAAGAATATTAATTATTATAAAGGATGAGTCACATAAAACTCTAGAAATGCATATGTCTGAAACCAGATAACATTTTAAAATTTAAATCTATTAAAAGTCATTTGGTCGCTAGGGATGAGTGATTATCGAAATAAATTATCGATCATTGAAAATAATCGATTATTTTCGATCAATAGATTATTTTCAAACAATATATTTTTTGTCATTTCCTTTAAAATCGACTACTTGATTATCTTTGAAAAATCAAAAATAATCGATTAATTAAAAAGCCAATTAACCGATAAATCAGTGTTTACAAAATATAATATAAATATAATTATCGTTTATTTTAAATAATCGATTATTTTCAAATAAACCATTTTTTTCGTCCATGGAAATAGATTATTCGATAATCTTTGAAAAATCGAAAATAATCGATTAATCAAAAATAATCGATTAATTAAAAAGTCGATTAACTGATAAATCGATTTAAAAAAAAACAGAATGATCCATTATTTTAAATAATTGAATATTTTCGATCAATCGATTATTTTAGATCAATCGATTATTATCAATAATCTATTTTTATTGTATTTCCTTTAAAATCGTTAATTCGATTATCTTTGAAATACCGAAAATAATCGATAATTCCAAAATAATCGCCTAATCGAAAATAATCAATTATTTAAGAAGCCGATTCTATGATAAATCGATTATTACCAATAATCTATTTTATTGTATTTCAAAAATAATCGATTAATTAAAAAGTCGATTAACTGACAAATCGATTTTCAAAAAAAACAGAATGATCGATTATTTTAAATAATTAATTATTTTCGATCAATCGATTATTATCAATAATCTATTTTTATTGTATTTCCTTTGAAATCGATAATTCGATTATCTTTGAAATACCAAAAATAATCAATAATTCCAAAATAATCGCCTAATCGAAAATAACCAATTAATTAAGAAGCCGATTCTATGATAAATCGTTTTTCCAAAAAATAAAACGAATTATCTATTATTTTCTAATAATCCTTTTTTCATATTTCATTTGAAATTGATTATTCGATTATCGAAAATAATTGATTATTAAAAAGTTGATTATCCAATAAATCGATAATTTTAAAAAAATAACCAAAATATCGATTATGTACAATAACCGATTATATCCAATCGATTATTTTCATATAATATCTTTGAAAAATCGAAAATAATCAAATAATTAAAAAACCGATTAAACGATAAATCGATTATTTTGAATAAATCTACTTTTTTTGTATTTCCTTTAAAATCGATTAATACATTATCTTAAAAAAACAAAAATAATTTATTAAAAACAGCGGATAAATCGATTTTCATTAAAAAATATCAGAATTATCGATAAATCGATTATTTTTGTAACCCCTATCGGTCGCTTGCTTTTATCTGAGCATTTAGCTCCAAAATTTAGAGATTCGGATTTTTTGATCCAGTTATCTTTGAAATCGCATTCAATTGTATAATAAATAAATATTGCTAAATTTTGGATTTTTTTTAGTAAACGAAAATTATGTTCGAGTTGTTTAAGGGTTTGTAATGTAACATTTTATTAACGTGACTAAGGGTCGATTCCACCGTTGTGTTAAACGAAGTTTAAAATGACATTTTTACATTAACACTGTCATTTTAATCTCCGTTTAACACAACGGTGGAATCGGACCTAACTCCTGTAACTTTAGTATTTTTTTTTTGCTTATACTAGATTACTTTGTTTTAAGACTGAAAATTCAATGTCACTTTCGATTTGACCGAAAATAAGATGAACCTTGAAATTTTAAGTAGGTCATCCTGTATTTCATCTAATATTCTTATAAAAATACCTTATAAAAATAAAATTTAGCTAGCAACTATGATTCTTTACCTCTTATTTATCTACCAAAAAGGGCTAAAAACTACCTTTAGAAAACATTCTTATAAAACTACTTTTTAAATACAAAATTTCGTTAGCAATACTGCCTATTTACTATTTATTTAAATTAAATGTTCAAAATTTTACCCTTTTGTAAATTTATGTAAGTAATATGAAATCTGATTTCTGATGCTTAATATTTATTGAAACCCCTTAATGCGGATCTGAAGTATTCAGCCCAGAGAATCATGGCGCTTTATGTCAAAACGTTAATAAATTACCGCTGAAAACGAATATATTCATAACAGTAGTACTTGTATTAATTATAAGTACATACAATTTTTCAAGATACATCGTGACATTTTGAACTTGAAATTGAATAACTAGAACACTTTAAATTGCTAAAATACCAACAAATAAATCAAAAAACAGCTGTCAATGGTGATTAAACTCAGGTGGAGGTGATCGCTGAATGGAAATCGGAGCAATTCGGGTGGCGTCGTGCAACAATGATTTTCAATTGGTGGGTTACTTTGGCTTAAAATAGACAACATGCGCAGTGTGCAATGTTACATCTTCGGTCTCTTTAATCTAAGTTGAAAACCAAGGCTCTTTAATAACAGTAATTTAATTAGGTATATTAATTTGTTAGACCACTTGTCATTTGTATACATTAATATACAGTGATGCACAAAAAATGTTTCTAAAATAGAAAGTCCCTCCGAGTAATTACTACTAGAGGGAGTCTACCCCCTTCCCCGCGCTAAATTTTGTTAGCAACATCTACTACCCCCGAGGGGGAAAATGCCTCTTCTGTAATTTGCTCATTTAATCAGCGTTGCCAAGTTTGACAGCGCCAGTTCTGACACTTTCTGACACATGTCAATTTCTTTTTTGTATTTTACGGAAAATATTATTATTTATAACGTTGTAAGGGTTGTAAATGTATATTTAAGATTTATTATCTCTAATAATATGGTGAAAACATGCTTTTATTATATGCTTGTAAGAATAATTACTTTCATTTCCTTTTAAAAATGAATTTCGAAGATAAAGCCGAAACGGTGAGTGAGAATAAAAAATTAGACGAAAGTGACGATTTTTACTGGAGCTTTCATCTACACGCTCCTTTTTCTAGCCATCTACACCTGAGCCAGCAAGATTCGTCTTCCCTCCTTCCTTACATTCTTCAGATTTACAGAAAAAGCGCCGTCCTCTTTAACATACCCAGACCTTCTTTGACGGGGACTATACCACTACATTATCAGCTTTATTTGTTATCCCGAGCAATTTAAATGCATTCGTAATTGCTCATTCTACCTCTTCTCTTCTCTTGTAGATTCTGTACTCTGTTTTCTTATTTTTAGTTACGTTTGCACTGCTCTTTTATTTTCACAGCTTTAATTCTATAATGCTGTAACGCTACAATATGGGTCCATTTTTGTGGTTTATACTATTTAATGTTATTCGTAATTGACCAACCTATTATAATAATTAAAGATTATTGTATTACAGGCCTGAAGATGTTCCTGTAAGGCCGAAACTAGTCGCTCCTGTATTTATTTATAATAAAATTGATTTTAAGGTTTTATTCTTCAATTGAGAAAATTAGACCTTCACAGTGATTTTGTTACATTTCCTGCATTAGACACATATAAGACGGTATTCATTTTAAAAATAGTAAAATTAGCAAACTCGTTTTCACACTCCCTCTATTAGTAATTGCTCGGAGGACATGGCCTTGAAAAAATTAACGCATTTTTAGGTGTCAGTTTCAATTTAATTCAGAGCCATGCGTATTTCTCGTATTTCTGTCTTTGCCGGACATGGACTACTTTAGAAACATGCAAAGTTTTTTCCCCAAAATTTATGTGCCAGGTGTTGTACATTTTTTTAAAAATAAAATAGTTTTGTACCTTAATGAGTTGCCTCGTATCGATATTGAAGTCCAAATAAGGGGAATAGAAATCTTTTATTTTTTGGGCTACCACAGCTCGATCAGCTTCTTTAACATTAAGATCTCTAGGTAAAAGAAGAAGAATATCTTCTGTAAATGCATTTGTATTATAAACAAATGTTGCATCTAAAATCATAAATAAACAATTCTTTAAAATCGATACCACTATTTAAAGAAAAGTGGTATAAATAAGAATATTTTGTAATTAAAAAATGAGTTAAAAAAACTTTTCTAAATTATCTGGTCTATTCACAAAAAAAATTAAAATTGCCCATAGAAAACAGAAGAAGCTTCAGATACCATAGGAAATGTATTATGTTTATGTAGCTAATGAAAATCGATCATCTTAGGCTAGCTTGATATACATAGTACGGTTTTAATATTATTGATGAAGTCAAACGATTTACACAAGAAATGCATCTTTAAAACCACATGTAAAATCTTAAAAATATTATAATTAATGTCCAGTAGAGTTGGACGATATTTTATATGAATCGTTTATTTAGTCACAAACTATTAGGTACAAAGTGTATAAATATGTATATCAGGTTTTTAAAATTACACAAATATTAAAATAATTTGTCATTTTGCACCAGGGATTCCCAAAGTGGTCAATACCGACCCCTTGGGTCGAAAGGTCGAAATCGGTTTCCCAGGGGTACACATAAACGAAAACTGATTTTGGGGGTCTAAAAATCGACCCCTATTAACACAAGTTCTTATTTAAAACTTTCAAGATACTGTATAAGTTGTTTTACATGTACCAACTCATTATAAGAATGACTACCTAATATTTTAGTAGGAAGTATCATTGTTGTACTTTTAAAAAAACTCAACAAGTCGATAAGTGTGCACAAGCTCGTACGAAAGGGAAACTCAACAAGTCAATAAGCGTGGACAAGTTCGTGCAAGATAATAAGTTCGAGAGTACAATTCTTTAACATGAACGAAATCATGATCAAGTTCAAGTCCAAACATGCTGCTAATTCCTGATATTATATTATACAGTGAGCAGTCTTATACCCCCCCAACTAACTCGTTACTGGAGTCTTGTTAGGAAAATCGCCGAGACACATCGATTTTTGATTTCTACAATGTACATTTTTGTATGAATAGTTTACCCTTAATTTCATCCCTGTGTTTTGTTTGGAGGTGACGAGACTTGGTCAAAAAAAGGCACAGATGATCTTGTCCATATATGAGATAAAATGAAATCCCATAAAAAATTTAAAGTGCACATGAATAATGTTTTTAGCTTTTCCATGCTGCTTGGTAAGTTAAATATAAAAACCCAGTTAAATTCGGCTTATCGTGATGCTCTAATTAAACATAATCAACAAGTGGATAACAATCGATATGTTTTAAATTAAATTATAAATTGTATAAGGTTTTGTGGAGCTTTTGAGTTAGCTTTAAGGGGTCACGATGAGAAAGATAATTCGGAAAATAGAGGCATATTTAAGGAGCTGGTGAATTAGACAACGACTTAAAGGTTTATATTCAAAGTTCAGAAGCCTTCAAAGGTACCTCAAAAACAACCCAAAATAAACTTCTTGAAAGCATGTTAGATGTTTATCGCGAAGAAGTTAGGAAAAAAATAAAAAATTATCCTTTTTTTGCAGTGATTGCCGATGAAACGACGGCCGTTGCTTGTGAATTTCAATTAGTTATAGTTTTCAGATATTTGAGTAAAGGACGACCAGTTGAGAGATTTTGGAGGTTCTACATGCTCGATGGACACGACGCCAAATCAATCGCTGAATGCATTTTAAATGTTTTACATCCATTATAAAAACATAGTCCAAATAAATTAATTGTTCAAAGCTATGACGGCGCGTCTGTAATGAGTGGTGGATTAAATGGTGTGCAAAAAATTATTAAAGAAACATATCCTCTTGACAATTACGTTCATTAATATGCACACCAGATGAATTTAGTTATGACAAGTGCATGTTCTGTCAATAACCAGGCTAGAATATTTCCACATCTCTTCAAAGAATAAAAATTTTCAATCGCGAGGTGTTCATACTGTTTATGAGAATAGAGAAGACCTCATTACAGTTGTGGTCATTATAGAAAGTACTTCACGCGATTCGTTGTCTATTAATCAAGCAAGTGGGTACAAATTAAAACTTCAGGATACACATTTTATATTTTGGTTAAGTATTTTTCATCAAATAATGCCTGAAGTGGAAATTATTTTTAACCAATTACAAAAAGTATACACAGATTAAGGTCAAGAAAGATTTGGAGAATTTCGAAGCAGCAATTCAAGGTATACGGGAGCAAATGGACAGCATTATTCAAGGAGAAATAAACACGTCGGAAGGAGAAACTGGTGAACCAATAAGAAAAAAGGCACGAATTGAAAAGAACACCAGAAAACGCAAAGCCTTAGAAATATGCGATGCCGTTTTATTGCAAATAAAAACAAGGTTTAACTTCTCTGGGCATTTGGTCGCTTCTAATTTATTTAAGTCGGAGAAGTTTTTGGTCTATAGGCATTAGTTTCCCGAATCATTCCTCAATGAAACATGTATACAATTTTCATTTTTAGACAAAAATATGCTTAAAAATGAATTACAAGTACTGTATCAGAGAGACGAATTAAGTACCATCTCCGGAGCTGTCCCGCTGTTAATTTTATTAAATGAGAAAGGTGTAAATTGTACATTTCAGCAAACTCTTAAACTTTTAGGTATTTTGATAACAATACCTATGGACTTCATTTATAGGAAACTTTAAAACTAATATACCAAGCAACTTTGTGCGCGTATGTAAATACTGTAAATAGGTATAGTTTTATTTTTGTGATTTTTTTGGTATATGGACCTAAAGACTCTTTATGGTAATAACAAACTGCAAGCACTTTCAGCATTAATTACTGGAGGTAAGTTAATTTATAATTTGTAATTAATTTTAGAAGAGTTCTTTGATAAGTTTTGAGTAATTTATTGGCAAAGTTTAGGATAAGACTAACCCTGGCGGCCTGTTTCGTGGCAAAACTTGTGTTAGAACCCTCATAAATAGTAGTAGTATAATAGATATAAAAGTATCCGTCCTTCATTTATTTTTTTAATTAAAATTTTATATCTATTTTGACAATACCGTGATAAATTTTTGCCCAAAACCAGTTTTTTAAACGACTTTTGGTTAAAAAGTTGGGCATGGCACCCCAAAAAAATTTTCTCCTCTGGTGGGGGCCTCTGACAGGGCGCCTCCGGCGGAGTTTTCACTTTTGTTAAAAATCTGGCACTACCATCTCGTATTATCACGAGCCACCACTGGGTTCATCCATCACACTGAATTTTTTATGTTTTTATTTTTACTTTGCGATTTTAATGTTTTTCATTTTTTCAAAAAATAATTACCTACGTAAGTATTTTTACGTAATTTGTTTTACTTTGTTAACCAATTGAAAAGTTGTTAAATCGGTAAGTACCTACTTTGTATCAAACTAAAGATAGGAATTTTAAAGTAATTTGGCTACGGGGGTCTGTCAGTTTATTTTGAAAAAAGGCGCCTCTTGCCCAAAATTGTTTGGGAATCCCGGATTTACACTAAAAACTTATAATAATATTAACGTTAATAATAATTTTAGTATTAAAAGTATCACTATCTTTCAGGATTTGTTAAATTAAATAATTTCAATCTTGATAAACTAACATTCTTTAAATGTTTTTCTATCGATTGTTAAATGTTTTCCAAAAAACTATAATTTATTTGAGGAAACAACCTGATTTATTTCAATTTTTCTACAAAGTTACGATTCAAATTGTGATCGTCCAACTCTTTTTTTCTGAATTGACGTTTTATCATTAAGGATTTACACGTAGGTAATCATTATAAAATGTGTTTTGAACAAGGATGTTATTGTAATATATAAAATAAAATAAATTGTGGTTCAACCTGTATATATCAATTAATCACTTAATATTAATATGGGTATAATATAGATCAGCCGTACTCAACCTTTTTTTCCTTCGGGCCACATTCGTATATGTGCTATGTTACACGGGCCGCAATATTTTTGGATGATGACCTTTTTTTTAGGACGTCTATCTAAAATTAGTTAGTGGGAACCTCTAATAAATAAAACACAAAACACAAATATATCCCGTTGTGTTACTGCAAAAACAAGATAACTCACATTTTTAGAGTTTCGATAAAACACTATTCAAACGTTTAAAACTGAATAAAAAATCAGTAAAAGCTTCAAACCGTTTATTAACTTCAATGAAGAAGGTATTGAAAACATTGTTCACAAAGTATAAACTAATAATCTATCAATAATTGATAAAAAAGAGAAAAAACGTCACTTAGCTTATTTTAGCTCTACATATAAAACATAATTCAATGTATGTGTCACTATCTTCAGTAACATTATTGGATACAGGTAGATTGTGATAATAATGGTGAAATTCATCAGGTGTATCTAATTTTGCAAAATTTTAGTAAATCTTTCTTCTTGCACTTTATTGTAAATATTTTAAAACTTTGTTTCATCCTTTCATGCCTCCCTCTGAATAAGTACTGTGCGAGTTTGGCATATAAAGCCGAATTTCCCAACCTCGCCCATTGATCAATTAAATCTATTTTTTTGGTGGAATGCATTTAGGATAGCTGAATCTTTCGATCCGTTGTCTATTAGAAAGTATGGTTAAAATTAATATTTGCCTGTTACCACTAATACTTTTATTCGCTAATTTTTACATAAAGATACGGCTTGACGAATCACTCGTTACAGCTTGACCAATCATCAGTTACATCTTGACCAATCACTCGTTCACCACGGAGATTCGAACATCACGTCTTATTATCTAGTGGTTGTTTAAGGTTAGCTGTATCACGGAAAGAAAGGGTGACGTAATCATCTTGTGGATTTCAGAACAATCGAGAAAGGCCAGAGATGGCTCTAGTCATAACAAAGCAAATGGCGTGGGCACAATGTTATGATATTTCAACAAACACATTCAACAAAAATAAGTAGTTGCAAACCACTCCCAAAATACTGGTACGTTTTCACTGGAAATCATCGAAATCACTACACATTTTCTCGAAAATTCCAAAATCATCATCTAAAATTATAGTCGAAATCAATTCGTCGCTCACAACCCGAAATGGCGAGAAAAAAATAATCATCGTATAAAATTAAGGTGGATTTTTAGTAAAATGACCTAAATTGCATAATTTTTTTTAAGTGATTTCCGAAATACAGGTACGTTTTGACCTTATTGGTTTCTCCTCGATTCTGGCCTTTATCTTGTTTGGGCACGAACACTATTAAGAATCGGACTAAATATATTATCTGGTTTTGGTAGACACATTTATCAATTGAACACAATGTTATGATTATATTTTGGTATAAATGCCACTCCATTTTATTTGTCCATATTGTTAATGTATTAAAATGGAGTTAGTTTTTATTGGCTATCTGTTTATCATGAATATAGACTTCTTTCACACTTATAGAAAGTGTACCTACTTAACTCGAAAATTCCAAAAGTGTTTTTGCAGTAACCCCACAAAATTCCAAACATTTATTTAAAAATTAGCATGCTATTTAGCGCTGCGACCAATAATAGTATTGCGGGCCACAAAAAAAGCTTGTAGGGCCGCATGCGGCCCGCAGGCCACAGGTTGAGTATGGCTGATATAGATGATGATGAGGTATCATTATTATATAATACCTTCTGCAGCCCCTAAAAATTCTTCTGAATTAACTCCGATCAGTAGCTTAACATCGTTAATTTCTCCGTTTCGTAAAAGTTCATACATGGACTTTGTGATGAAAGCATTCTCATGTTCGTGTTCAACTACTGGTCCAAAATAAACACCTTGTTGTATCTGTGAGTCTGAAGGTGTTTCCTAAAAATACAAAAATGTATTCATTAAAAATAAAAATATTTTCGTATTCTAATAGATTTTCGAAAATTGTTCAGGTCCCAAATCGATCTGGTTTACTGAGGATATATTCACCAAACACGTAGGTAATAATATTTGGGCAAATATTTGTGAATGTTTATAAATATTGGCTTGAGTACACAAACACTTATTCTCTACGAATGTTGAAGTGTGAATGGCAAGGTAATAGATGATTTCATCGGAAGACATATTGCCGTTCCAATGTCATTGCAAGAGCTTTGCACCATCTATCAGTTTACATAGCAAGATGTTAATTCATTTCGGCAATCTGTCTAAGGTTATGGCGCAGCATAATTGTCTTCCTTTTTCCTTGTATTCTTCTTTAGCTATATGGGCTCAGTTTTTAACTAGCCCTATCTGAGGTGTACCTGGCTTGCAAAGAAGCGCTTGTTAGACTGTGGCCGATTTTTGTGAAATAACAACTTTTTAAAAACCAAAGACTGGCACTGGGTAGATAGTGAAAAACTGAACCCATACAACTATAGAAGAAGACAACGAAAAAAGAAAACATGTATGCTGACGCCATAACCTTGGACAGATTGCCAAAACGACAAATTTACTTCCGTTGAAATAAACTCCTACTTCTATTACTTGCTATGTAAACGATAGATGGTGAAAGCTCTTGCAATGACCTTACAACGTCCATGTCTTCCGATGAAAACATCTTTATTTAAAAAAAAAAATATTTGTAAAATCATTTTTTGTATTTTTAGATGGACTTTCCGGAGTGCAGTCTTCATAAAATATCAAAAAAAAATAATACTAAATAAAAAAGTTCATGAAGTATCAAATGTTAAATAGTATTTTAAACGAAGTATCAGTAAAAAAAGCTGCACGAGGGTGCAGCTTTTCTTAATAGAACAATATCGAAGAAGAGAAGAAGAAGAAGAAGAGAAGAGGAGGAAGAGAAAGAAGAAGAAGAGAAAGAGGAAGAGAAGAGGTATATTTTAGAAAAATTTAAATAAATCATATTTATCAATCGCCAGTTTGTTTCTAATCTCGAATTCATTGGACAATATTGATTTCTTGACTGAAACCGGAGACTTTCATAGATTTTGACATTATAACATTGATTTAGAACAGAAAATAGGTCATTGATATAATGCATAAATGTATAATAATAGAAGATTGTGGGAGCCAAATGTGAGCCCCAAGTGAAAGTGAGCCACAATGGAAGTTCTTCATTGCTTTTGTGTAGAACAGTAAATATAAATATATTACTTAATCGATTTTAAATCTACCATTGTTTGATTTTTGCTATTAATTGTTATGAATTATCATCAAGTAAAGACATAATCAAGAAGTTTTGAAAATATTTACCATTTTGTGAATAGTATGAGCTGCTCTATCTATATCTACTGCAGACTGCTTCCTAAGATATTCATATACCTCCGATGAAGATGCATTGTAAGTTAAAAAATCGGGATTTAGAATGGTTGCCAGTAAGTAAGAGAGTTCTGTTTGATTCCTCTGGTGAGCCCATGGACTTAGAGCCGACGCACTTTGACATATTGCTGCTCTAAATAATCCTTAAACAAATCAATAATTTATAATTAGTTTAAAAGGCTTGGCACACTGTAATACTTAGTTTTACTAAAGTTCTAAGAAAACATTTTTTTTATGTTAATATAATATAAAGATGAGGACAAAATATTAAGGGTGGCAAATTTGTTGAGCATTCCATATTCAGGTAATACAATAGTATATTATGCAACGAGCACGAAATGAAGCATATTTTGCACGAGTATGAAAGTTTGAAACACGAGCCGTAGGCGAGTGTTGCAAATCATACGAGTGCAAAATAGCTATTTCGTGCGAGTTGCATACTATACTTTTTCTACGACTGCTTCCTATTACATAAACAAACACAAATCGAATAAAATATTTATTTTATTAACTGGAATAGATTACACTGCAAATAACAAATTGTGGATAAATAAACTTGATTGAAACTGAAAAACTGGTCAAGCCATACCCCAACCTATTTATAAAAATTAAACGTACAATTATTAAAAACCATTTTTGGGGAGTTAGTAGTGATATTATGTTCAATATTTACATTTTCTTGAATTTGGCAAATTTTCTGCAGTTGTAGTAGATGTGTTTCCCGTTTCTGAAGTTATATTTTTTATCTTATTAGAAATTATGTTGGCTATATCAATCTTATTTGTTAAGGATTCATCTATATAGCTTTCAGCAACAGCTGTAGACTTCCAGCCGCCATGACACTTTAACGTGGTTATGTCACCACCAGCATCAACTAAAATTGTTGCCGAAGAACGGCGAAAGCAGTGACCTATATATAACTCAGGATTTGGCAATTTCAAATACTTGGCAATATCTTTTCCCATTGCCCCAATTTTATTTAACCCTATTCTTTGAACGGTGCATTTACCTTTTTTGGTAATTTATAAAAAACCAGGGATCATTAACATGAGGAGGGCGAAGGTCGGCATATTTTTTAAAAAATTTATAATATTGACCAATTATAGTAAACTTTCGAACAATTTTGGTTTTAGTGTCTGGTACAGTCACCAAAACTGCTACATTCAAATCATTAAAATTTGAAATTTTCATCTGATGTAATTCATGTCCCATTACACCCATAATTAACGCAACCTACAATAAAAATTCACAAATTGAAAATACTTTGCATTACACAAATATAAAAAATAACGGATTTTAAATATAAATAACCTACTTTTGTTACTAAATATATCTCATCGGGAGCTTCTTTTATAAATTTTTCGATTTCATTTGACGTAAAAGTCTTCGACTTTTTCGGTTTGTATCCGTCTGACTGCCGCTTGAGAAATGCTTTCAATTTCAAATATTTGCTAATATCTATATTATTATTAATGCTGATAGTCGTTCTTAACATCGAATATTGTGTCCAAAGCGTAGAACTTTTCATTTTTTTCGCCAATTCGGCAAAATAAAACGTTCTCTGAAAATGAGTTTGCGTTCTCACCTTTTTTCCAATTCATGAAGAGGGCATAAGATCGTTGATATAATTTTTTTGATGTTGGTGGCAACAAATTTAAAGTTGTTACTTTTGCAGCCTCCTTTATGTTTGGAGGTGTTAATTCTATATCACTATCACTGTCCATTTTATTAATTTATTTCATAAAAAAAGATAATTATCGTAAGTTCTGTCAATATTAATCATACTGACAGTAACGTCAAAATGATATTAGGCATTCCAACGACCTGTCAAACAATAGGTGCCAGTGGGAAGTTCTTGTATATTTAAGGGGGTAGCGACATAGTCTTGCAACTTGGACGCTATTTTTATTCGAAGTAGTACTCGCCAAGCCTGCCAATTTATGAAGAAATGTATAGGTGGGTTTTTTAAATATTATTTTTATTGTGTTTGACATAAAATATTTAAATGTAATCTATTATTCATGATTTTACGTAAAGTAGATAGAATACACCATATGTCGCCACCCTTAGATATACTAAACCTGCCCACTGGTAATTCATTTGTTTGGAATGCCTAATTATAGACGCCCATGGTATAGACGCCTTAGTTTTTGATCTACTAAATTAAAATTTCATTTCGCACGCGTTGCTGGGCAACCCGTGCAATATGAAATGTGTAAAATGTGTATAAGTTCCAATAGCCGAATCAAAATGATGATTTATCATTGCAGCCGTAATTGTTATTTTAATTGTTATTTTAATTGTTATTTTAATTGTTATTTTAATTGTTATTTTAATTGTTATTTTAATTGTTATTTTAATTGTTATTTTAATTGTTATTTTAATTGTTATTTTAATTGTTATTTTAATTGTTATTTTAATTGTTATTTTAATTGTTATTTTAATTGTTATTTTAATTGTTATTTTAATTGTTATTTTAATTGTTATTTTAATTGTTATTTTAATTGTTATTTTAATTGTTATTTTAATTGTTATTTTAATTGTTATTTTAATTGTTATTTTAATTGTTATTTTAATTGTTATTTTAATTGTTATTTTAATTGTTATTTTAATTGTATTTTAATTGTTATTTTATTTGTTATTTTAATTGTTATTTTGATTGTTATTTTAATTTTTATTTTAATTGTTATTTTAATTGTTATTTTAATTGTTATTTTAATTGTTATTTTAATTGTTATTTTAATTGTTATTTTAATTGTTATTTTAATTGTTATTTTAATTGTTATTTTAATTGTTATTTTAATTGTTATTTTAATTGTTATTTTAATTGTTATTTTAATTGTTATTTTAATTGTTATTTTAATTGTTATTTTAATTGTTATTTTAATTGTTATTTTAATTGTTATTTTAATTGTTATTTTAATTGTTATTTTAATTGTTATTTTAATTGTTATTATAATTGTTATTTTAATTGTTATTTTAATTGTTATTTTAATTGTTATTTTAATTGTTATTTTAATTGTTATTTTAATTCTTATTTTAATTCTTATTTTAATTGTTATTTTAATTGGTATTTTAATTGTTATTTTAATTGTTATTTTAATTGTTATTTTAATTGTTATTTTAATTGGTATTTTAATTGTTATTTTAATTGTTATTTTAATTGTTATTTTAATTGTTATTTTAATTGTTATTTTAATTGTTATTTTAATTGTTATTTTAATTGTTATTTTAATTGTTATTTTAATTGTTATTTTAATTGTTATTTTAATTGTTATTTTAATTGTTATTTTAATTGTTATTTTAATTGTTATTTTAATTGTTATTTTAATTGTTATTTTAATTGTTATTTTAATTGTTATTTTAATTGTTATTTTAATTGTTATTTTAATTGTTATTTTAATTGTTATTTTAATTGTTATTTTAATTGTTATTTTAATTGTTATTTTAATTGTTATTTTAATTGTTATTTTAATTGTTATTTTAATTGTTATTTTAATTGTTATTTTAATTGTTATTTTAATTGTTATTTTAATTGTTATTTTAATTGGTATTTTAATTGTTATTTTAATTGTTATTTTAATTGTTATTTTAATTGTTATTTTAATTGTTATTTTAATTGTTATTTTAATTGTTATTTTAATTGTTATTTTAATTGTTATTTTAATTGTTATTTTAATTGTTATTTTAATTGTTATTTTAATTGTTATTTTAATTGTTATTTTAATTGTTATTTTAATTGTTATTTTAATTGTTATTTTAATTGTTATTTTAATTGTTATTTTAATTGTTATTTTAATTGTTATTTTAATTGTTATTTTAATTGTTATTTTAATTGTTATTTTAATTGTTATTTTAATTGTTATTTTAATTGTTATTTTAATTGGTATTTTAATTGTTATTTTAATTGTTATTTTAATTGTTATTTTAATTGTTATTTTAATTGTTATTTTAATTGTTATTTTAATTGTTATTTTAATTGTTATTTTAATTGTTATTTTAATTGTTATTTTAATTGTTATTTTAATTGTTATTTTAATTGTTATTTTAATTGTTATTTTAATTGTTATTTTAATTGTTATTTTAATTGTTATTTTAATTGTTATTTTAATTGTTATTTTAATTGTTATTTTAATTGGTATTTTAATTGTTATTTTAATTGGTATTTTAATTGTTATTTTAATTGTTATTTTAATTGGTATTTTAATTGTTATTTTAATTGTTATTTTAATTGTTATTTTAATTGTTATTTTAATTGTTATTTTAATTGTTATTTTAATTGTTATTTTAATTGTTATTTTAATTGTTATTTTAATTGTTATTTTAATTGTTATTTTAATTGTTATTTTAATTGTTATTTTAATTGTTATTTTAATTGTTATTTTAATTGTTATTTTAATTGTTATTTTAATTGTATTTTAATTGTTATTTTATTTGTTATTTTAATTGTTATTTTGATTGTTATTTTAATTTTTATTTTAATTGTTATTTTAATTGTTATTTTAATTGTTATTTTAATTGTTATTTTAATTGTTATTTTAATTGTTATTTTAATTGTTATTTTAATTGTTATTTTAATTGTTATTTTAATTGTTATTTTAATTGTTATTTTAATTGTTATTTTAATTGTTATTTTAATTGTTATTTTAATTGTTATTTTAATTGTTATTTTAATTGTTATTTTAATTGTTATTTTAATTGTTATTTTAATTGTTATTTTAATTGTTATTTTAATTGTTATTTTAATTGTTATTTTAATTGTTATTTTAATTGTTATTTTAATTGTTATTTTAATTGTTATTTTAATTGTTATTTTAATTGTTATTTTAATTCTTATTTTAATTCTTATTTTAATTCTTATTTTAATTGTTATTTTAATTGGTATTTTAATTGTTATTTTAATTGTTATTTTAATTGTTATTTTAATTGTTATTTTAATTGGTATTTTAATTGTTATTTTAATTGTTATTTTAATTGTTATTTTAATTGTTATTTTAATTGTTATTTTAATTGTTATTTTAATTGTTATTTTAATTGTTATTTTAATTGTTATTTTAATTGTTATTTTAATTGTTATTTTAATTGTTATTTTAATTGTTATTTTAATTGTTATTTTAATTGTTATTTTAATTGTTATTTTAATTGTTATTTTAATTGTTATTTTAATTGTTATTTTAATTGTTATTTTAATTGTTATTTTAATTGTTATTTTAATTGTTATTTTAATTGTTATTTTAATTGTTATTTTAATTGTTATTTTAATTGTTATTTTAATTGTTATTTTAATTGTTATTTTAATTGTTATTTTAATTGTTATTTTAATTGTTATTTTAATTGTTATTTTAATTGTTATTTTAATTGTTATTTTAATTGTTATTTTAATTGGTATTTTAATTGTTATTTTAATTGTTATTTTAATTGTTATTTTAATTGGTATTTTAATTGTTATTTTAATTGTTATTTTAATTGTTATTTTAATTGTTATTTTAATTGTTATTTTAATTGTTATTTTAATTGTTATTTTAATTGTTATTTTAATTGTTATTTTAATTGTTATTTTAATTGTTATTTTAATTGTTATTTTAATTGTTATTTTAATTGTTATTTTAATTGTTATTTTAATTGTTATTTTAATTGTTATTTTAATTGTTATTTTAATTGTTATTTTAATTGTTATTTTAATTGTTATTTTAATTGTTATTTTAATTGTTATTTTAATTGTTATTTTAATTGTTATTTTAATTGTTATTTTAATTGTTATTTTAATTGGTATTTTAATTGTTATTTTAATTGTTATTTTAATTGTTATTTTAATTGTTATTTTAATTGTTATTTTAATTGTTATTTTAATTGGTATTTTAATTGTTATTTTAATTGGTATTTTAATTGTTATTTTAATTGTTATTTTAATTGGTATTTTAATTGTTATTTTAATTGTTATTTTAATTGTTATTTTAATTGTTATTTTAATTGTTATTTTAATTGTTATTTTAATTGTTATTTTAATTGTTATTTTAATTGTTATTTTAATTGTTATTTTAATTGTTATTTTAATTGTTATTTTAATTGTTATTTTAATTGTTATTTTAATTGTTATTTTAATTGTTATTTTAATTGTTATTATAATTGTTATTTTAATTATTATTTTAATTGTTATTTTAATTGTTATTTTAATTGTTATTTTAATTGTTATTTTGATTGTTATTTTAATTGTTATTTTAATCGTTATTTTAATTGTTATTTTAATTGGTATTTTAATTGGAATTTTAATTGGTATTTTAATTGGTATTTTAATTGTTATTTTAATTTTTATTTTAATTGTTATTTTAATTGTTATTTTAATTGTTATTTTAATTGTTATTTTAATTGTTATTTTAATTGTTATTTTAATTGTTATTTTAATTCTTATTTTAATTGTTATTTTAATTGGTATTTTAATTGGTATTTTAATTGTTATTTTAATTGTTATTTTAATTGTTATTTTAATTGTTATTTTAATTGTTATTTTAATTGTTATTTTAATTGTTATTTTAATTGTTATTTTAATTGTTATTTTAATTGTTATTTTAATTGTTATTTTGATTGGTATTTTAATTGTTATTTTGATTGTTATTTTAATTGTTATTTTAATCGTTATTTTAATTGTTATTTTAATTGGTATTTTAATTGGTATTTTAATTGTTATTTTAATTGTTATTTTAATTGTTATTTTAATTGTTATTTTATTGCGTAATTATGATGGTCAAATGAACTACTATCAGCAAAAAATAGAAATAGTAATTCCGTTATTTTATGTGACCATCGAGTTTTCCCATGTAGGGGTATAGAAATAGTAACTCGGTTAAAACAAAGCCAGCGATCTATAAATTCGTCATATTTTTAGGGTTCCGTACCCGAAGCCTCCGCTGTCCGTCCGTCCGTCTGTCAGCGGGCTGTATCTCATGATCCGTAATAGGTAACCAGTTGAAATTTTCACAAATAATAAAAATAAAAATAAAAATAAATTAAAAATTAAAGGGGACACCCCTACTAGAAACGTGTTTTTTGGCTTTTTTTGATCGATTTTAATAAAGTATTTAAAAAGTACCTACATAGTATTAAATCTTGTACGATGGTGCGGAACCCTTTCTGCGCGAGTCCGACTAGCACCGATTTTATTTAATTAAACTTTTAGTGTTTGGGTTCGCAATATAATATACTCAATTCTATATTAAGTAAAACATTAGTCAATACTTAACAAAAATGTAAAAATTGCTATTTATGAAATCAGTCGTGTATTGTGTTTTAGTTATTTTATGGTTATTTAGAATGTAAAATAAGGACCAAAACAACATTATTATTAGGTTTTAAGTTTAACTAACTTCTATTTTTATAAGTCAACCTGCTCTTCTGTTTGTTATTGATTTTAAAACAAAAAAAATATTTGTATTTGTTTTCTTTCCGCTACTGGTGACATAATGAATTTTTCGAAACCAGTTTTAAAATTTTTAACTTTTAGCAACTGGTTGCGTAAAGAAGATGATTACGACACTTGCTGCGATTACAAAAAATGTCACTTATATGTCAAAGTTAAAAAATACCTTTTTTTTGTACATTTTATTTAATAATTACCTTTTGACATTGGGCTTAATACATGGTAATGTACAGACGCAGCTCCAGCACTTTGTCCAAAAATAGTAACTTTATTTGGATCTCCACCAAAGTACTGAATGTATTGATTAACAAATCTTAATGCCAGCGATTGATCTTTTAATCCAGCATTTCCAGGAACTACATCGTCGCCAGTAGAAAAGAAGCCTTACAGAAAAATTAATTAAACATAACTTATTTTAAAATGTATACGAATTAATTTAATAACTTACCGAAAGGTCCAATTCGATAGTTAAATGTAACATAGATGACATCATAATTCATAAGATGATCAGGTCCGTAATTAACATCTACAGAAGAACCTTCAATAAATGCTCCTCCATAAATAAACATCATCACTGGAAGACTAGCATTTAATTTGGGATCCTAATATTAAAAAAATAAACCTTCATTAAAAGAATAGTTTTTTCACATTTATAAAAAAAAATTATTCACCTCCCAAAAGGTGGGAGATCTAATTTATTGACAAAAAAACGTTTACAAGAAATAATGGGTAGATTATAATATTCTTGTTGCGAATCATTAAATTTCACTGTTGATGACATTTTTTAATAACATGTTATAAGTGTTTTGCGTCACAAAATCAGACACAATAATGGATATTTACAACTCCACTTAGAAGAAAGAATAAAGTTCAAAAACAGTACCAGATAAATTTTAATACAAATATGTTACAACTAGTTTCGGCCTTTAAGAGCCATCTTCAGGTCTGTAATACGAATACATCTTGAACATCTGAACATCTTATTTATATTGAAATTTATGGGATATTGATTTTAAATTTAATTTTTTCAAAAATACCGACTACATCTGTAACGTGTGGAGGGGGGATTACCACCACGGCACTTAGGTAAAGGCCCATTCTACATCGTTTTAAGATGATAGGCACCTCCTAGCTCCTGAGGCAGCTTGCAGATTTAATGTAGTTGACAACGTCGCCAAGAGGCGCTTCTCTTATATAGGCCGGTGTTAGCCGATACACAAATCTTCTAATAAATAAGAGTGTCGAGCAATTTTAGAGGATTTGTTCGATGGTCTCATCTTCTTGTTTGCATCCCTTTGCAGAGTGCTGATTCTGACAGCCCCATGATATGGAAATGCTTCCGTACTTGGCAATGACCAGTTAGAATGCCTGTGATCAGGCTCAGATTCTGTCTACTCATAGTATTAGGTTGCTGTAGTGTTAGTACAACTTACAATATTTCTGGAAACTCTGCAGTTTCTTTTTTCATAAGGTCTTTCCTTGAATTTCACAAGGGAATGTTCTTTAATTAGGTCTGTCACTACTGATGTTGTCAGTCCAATAGAAGAGCCAGGTTCAAAAAGTATTTGGTTGTCTGCCTACTTGGTTAATGAATTAGCAAGATGCAAAACGGTTACCTTTCGATGTGGCGCGACCTTTGATCCATCTTAAGATGACCACATTGTTGACGGATACTTTGGCCAAAGCTTTGTGACATTCTAGTACTAACCCTGAGTAAATTCGTGGTCTGTTCAGGTAAGTAGTGCTGATCTGCTATCTATATAGATGAGTATGTTCCTTCCAGTGATATTAATTCTGGTGATTTCTTTTGCTGCTATGAGAATTCTCGTGAGCTCGGTTTGAACTACACTGCCACTATTGCTCACAGTCCATTGTATGTTTAGGTTTAAGGATCTGGAGTATATTCCCTATCCTGGGCCTTCTTTGTTTTAGAACCGTCAGTGTAGATGTGAATCGTACCTGCCACTTCCGGCTCTTTTAGTTGGTCTGTTATAACTTTATATGAGTTATGGAAGATATATCTCAATGAGATGAAGTCCATTTTCGCATGTTGAGACATGGTGTTCTTTAAATTTGATCTAGTTTGCGGATAGCTGTCAATTTATGGGTTTTCGGTACCCAGACAACTGCACCGTATGTCAGCATAGCCGTGTAAGTCCATGTGATGACTCTCGGGGCGAAACCCCAGATGCGGCCCACATTTCGGCGGCATTTTTCATAAGCAATGTATACTAGGTACTTTATCTTTGTTACAAAGTTTAGTTTTATGTTTAGGAGCTCTGGAGGTTTCAATTTCATTTTCATCCTTTCCCTTGTGAAAAAGACCATTTTTGTCTTCTTGGGATTAATAGACAGTGAATGGTCTTTGCACCACTGTTCTATAATTTTAAAAGCTACTTTCACAGAGTATGTTCTCAAAATTCCCTGTTTGCAGAATGACCAGGTTATCTGCATATGCTATTGTGTAGTGACTGTCATTATTGAGGCGGCTGATGAGGGTGTCAAAGGCCATGTTCCACAGTAGAGGTGATAGCACCCCTCTCTGTGGAAATCCCTTCTCAGCCAAGCATCTTATATTCACATATTCAACACTTATGTTTACTGCACGCTTTGAGAGCATGTTATGTATCCACCCACTAACCATCTGTGGAACATTCCTGTTGATTAGTGAGTGTAATATCTTGGGGAAGGTGGTTTTATCAAAGTACGTTCTATGTCTATGAAAATACCCAAGTCGGACTCCTTAATGTCCAGGGATTTCTCTATCCGGCCAGCAGCTAGATGAAGGGCTGAATCAATCTGCCTGGGATGAATGCCTGACCACAATGGAGTACAAAGCAAATATTTCATTTTTAAATCTACCTGGTGATATTGGATAACTTTAATATACATGGTGCATAATTCAGGAGTATAACAAAATTAATCTGATTCATAAAAAAGTTAATTATACTTGTAATCAAGCTATAACTAATAAAGACACTGTCTGAATATGAAATCCATCAATCACAGTTCATATAATGACTAATCTACAATTCGTTTTTTTATTGTTAATAAGTGACTAATTGTCAATTCTTTATAAAGAAACTGTAAATTCTATTAAAATTATCTAAAACCAATTCAATTATAAATTATAAATCATAAAAAAATGTAGAAGTTATTAGCGCAACAGCTTGAGTGAAGCGTTTCCTTTTCAAGAACCGTGATTTATATCCTGATTGAGGCTAATTTATGGAGTGTATTGTCCGTATGGCCATCATAATATGGCTATCATATCCACTCATATTGCACAAACTTCCAATTTGTTTTAATTTTGTTTAATTTGTTTTCGCAAAAAACTATAACCAATCGGCATTTATTTATTCCAGCAACATTATATGAAGCATTTAATTGATAGTGGTCTGATAAAGTGTCGTTCCAAAGAATGTTGTTTAAACTAGAATATTTTGAAATTCGCGGCAAAATATACAAACAAATTATTTAAAATAAAGAAAGTTTATCGTTAGAATAGGGCCAATTAAAAACATAATTCTTGTTAGTTAGTAGAGGAATACTGTTCTGGGGCCATTGCTATTTTCCACATCTATATTTTAAATGGGACAACGGACAACCTTTATATATTGGCAACTGAACGTAAGTTCCAGAGTCAATATTATATACATTTGATATGTGTGTAATGCATAAAAAATTATTAATAAATAGGTTACTTACCTTTGGAGAAAATATGTTAATAAAGAGGCAATCTTCGTCTCCATCTAAATAGTCATAAGTAATTTGTCTACAATAATTCCTTTCAATGGTTGCATCTAAGACACCATCCCAGGGTTTTTTTGGTTGAGCAGCCTAAATTTAGTAAAATTCAATTTAAAGAGTGTTAAATAAATTTTTGTTTTCCAATAAAATCTTAAGGATTAATACAAAATTATACCTACGAAGACAATATTTCCAACTTAAATAACAATATCTTACATATTCAAATTTAGTAATTGATTTTGTATTCTTTTAAATAACGCATAGCACCCTGAAAACAAATGAAAACAACAGTGTCAAATTTAAGATCCGATGTGCGGAAACAGGCCCTGTCACAACGGAGATTGGCAAAGTTACACCGATTCACTGACCACCTACAGCATGGAAACCAGGAAAACTAAAATCAACAGCTTCAGGAAATTTTGCGAGGAGATTAATTCTACATCCGCGACAGCAAGACTGCACAAGGCCCTGAAAAGAGGGAGAGTAGATAGGCTCTAAAAAGAAACCAGATGAAAGCTTCACACAAAGCGAGGAGAAAAGAGCTGGACTCTTAATCGAAACTCGCTTTCCTGGGAACCCACCTTGTCTAATAGGAGACACAAGTAAAGTAAGCAGGCCCTCAAGAGAGACCGTTGTAGTTGGTCGAACACATATGCAGCAGCAATCGGTTAAAGTAGGCCGTAAACACTTTTGAACTGTTTAAGTCTCCACATGTGGATGACACATTTCCTGCCCTGCTTTAGCGGGCACAGGAGGAATTACTACCACATGCTATCTGGATATCCCGGACAAATCTGGAACTAGGATATATACTGGTCAGGGTCACCTTTATTCCAAAAATAGGAATGATACCATACATCATAAATCCTTCCGACCAATCAACCTGATATCCTTTGTATTAAAAACAATGTAGAAAGCTGTTGATAATTGTACCAGAACAGAAATCCTAGTGCGAGCTACTCCACCACAGATAGCTTGCGTACAGAAACTGTCCTGGTACTGCTGGCAGATAAAATCCAGGATGCACTAATAAACACAGAAATGGTTAAATATAGAAAGAATGTTTGACAACAAACAGGACAATATATAGAATGATCAGGAACCGAGTAGCCAGATGAAAGTCTATTAGCTTCAGGACTGAAGATATTTGGGATATGCCCCAGGACGAAATGAGAATAAGGTATATTTTTGTAAAAAAATTCAAAACCACCGATTTGGGCTGCAACAAAGAATGGACACAAAAACCATCAAGCTTGCAACTGAAAGACATCAAGCATCTTCCAGGTGCAAATTTGCGTCATTGTGAAGTGTATTCAGTTCAACATCCAGAGAAACTATCGCAGACAAGAGATATCGTATCCGGTCGCCAAGCAGCCATCAAAGCGCTGAGCTCTTACGTAATCAGCTCAAAAATGGTCTGAAGATGCATAGAAAAACTGAATGAGTCAGGCGAGAAAAATACAGTTACTCTCACTTAGGTCCCGGGACATGGTAAATGGTAACGAGATTGCAGATATTTTCTCATGGAAAGGGACTCAAACTCCCTTTGTGGGATCTGAGCCGTTCTGCGGCATTAGCAGTAACACAATATTAGAAGAGAATAAAAAAGAATTGGGCAATAGAAGAACTGATAATTGGAACAATTTATTGGGGCTATGACTGGCTAAGATGCTTCTGGGTGAATATAATCAGAAAAGATCGGAAGTCTATCTGCCTGAACAAGAACAGGCTCATTGTAACAGGGATCCTTACTCAAAGGACGCTTTAGTAAACTGAGAGTAGTAAAATATAGTGCAGATTCCCTGAGGAGGAACACGAAACCTCCATTCATATTCTGATTGAATGTGTAGCACCCCAGAATCCAAAAGCACCATACTTAGAAGCATCCCAATAGAAGAGAGCGATCTACCTAACTTGAAGCCACTTCAAATCCTACACTTCTTTGAGAAAATAGGTTTTGAAGAGTCTTTATAGGCATCGAGATTATTTCATCGAAGCATTAGCGACAGAAGGGGGCACAATAGATATTTTAGGTCACAATACACTAATATCCCATAAATAGGTAAAATTAAAAATATTGTAATGCAAGTCATTTTCGACCAGTCCAGTCATGCTCTAATCTCTTATATTTCTCTCTGCCATGTTTGAGCATTTATATGGCCTCACTTGTCAAATTACCAAAAATAGTCAAAGAATATTTAATATAAGTCACCTCCAAAAGCCCTTTCCGTTACGCGTATTATGGACGAAGCGAGACGATTGGTCTGCGTAGAGTGTGAAGCGAACGCTGTAGAAAATAGCTGAAAGTGTTGCCAGATCTCATCTAATACGTTCGATAAATACCTTGAATTCTCCTAAAACCAGTGCGATGCGCAATATGTATACTTTCTAAGTTTGAAATAAATATAAATAGTGTTGATATAAAAAATAAGAATCTGAGATAAGTTACTTATAAGTTGTAAATAAATTATTGAATATAAGTGTATAATAAATTAAATAAACTGTTTTAAAACAAATAAACGTTACTATATTAAACTACAAAAATATAAAATTAAGAATAGAAAAGGGAACAAGGGAAAAGACATTAGAAATGAGCCACAATGGATCCATCTGGATTTCAGTTGAAGAAGATGAGATCATGCTACTCATTTTTAATATAAACTAGGATACTAATATTAGGCGAAGTGCCTCTGGTTTGGTAGCGGAAAATTCGCTTTAATAAAGTATGAGGTGACACTAGTTCGATCTAGCGCAATGAGGCCGATTTATGTGTACTTTCATTTAGAGACGTTGCAGCAGAACCTAAATCTTAAAAATAGTGAAAAGTGCACAGTGAATTTTTTGTACGTCACTTTTGTTTTAAAGGTGCGGTATGTGAAAAGTATCAATATCATCAAGACCTTGCTATCTTTCTTATTTTTATGCATATTGTTTCGTGTCCAGTCCTAAATTTAATTTTAATGTTTGCCACTACCGTTTATCTTTACTTTATCCTCGAATTTTCCTTCATGGGTTTTCATTCTGATATTGTCATTGTTATTATTTGAAATGTGTTACTTATCTACATGCACTTAACAGATACAGACACCGCTGAGGCGCTTCGAGCGACAATGGTATTTGTCTGTTATGTGCACGTTCTTATTATACCTTGTTTATTTCAGTGTAAAATATTTTCCTCATTTTGAAATTTCCGTATATTTATAGTTTCAAGGATATGACACTTTTCGTTAGACTTACTTGAAATCTGGATTCATTCACTACAGGTTCAGCATATGGTATTCCTTGAAAAGAGTGAATAGTAACACCATCTATTGTAGTCCTTGTTTTACCTTTGAGAGATCCCAAGGGAAAATCCAAAAGAATTTCATCGCATCTCTGTATAAGAAAAGTAATAATTATTTGAGTGAATTCGAGCAGGTATTTATTCAAAATGTCAGTATTAAACTTTTCGGGCGGTAATAAAAATAATTGTGCAGAATTTGGTCTGTTATTTAATCTTACAGCTGCCGTATAAAATTTACTCATGTATTAGAATAAATAAATATCCATTGCAATTGAATCGGTTATTTGGAAAAGGGCGAAAACGAAAATTTCGGCCATTTTCGTTTTATGGTATTTTTGTATAATTTTATTAAACGCGAACCATTTGTTACGAAAATGGAACATAATATCACACTAGAACTTCTAGAACTGCTTTATCTAGATACCCGTTTTACTGCGTTTAGTTCGAATTGTAACCTTTTGGAAATAGTCACGCTGAAACCAAAATTATGTTTTGGCATGTCATCACGCTTCAGCCTATATGATTAAAATTACTGAGGCCCTTCCTATGTGGCCCCCATTTTTTAAAACTTTTTTTCATGTTTCCGATCATTCTGATTACGAAAATGCAAAAAAAAAATGTCTGTGTGTATGTATGCCGGCACGATAACTCTAGAACGAAAGTTCTGATTGACTTGCGGTTTTGCTTTTCTTGAATAATTACTTCTAACTTAGAACTCTATTGATTTTGAGAATTTTTGGTTTATCCTAACTACTTTAATATCAATTTTCTTAAAATCCGCCTATGCATTTCTTATATGACAATTTTAGGAATTCCAATTATTTCTAACGTCAACATTCCAAACATTCTTTACATTTCGTAAATTGCAAACAATCTCTAACGACCTGTCAAACAACAGCTGTTGATAGTAAAGGTGAAATTTCTAAGGCGGATTGCTACCTTCATACTTGCAACCATAGCCATTTCGGAGGCTATTTTTATTCGAAATTAGTCGCCAAGCCTGCCAATTTATGAAAAATATATAAGCAGTTTCTTAAAAATGACTTTTTTATCTTAAGCGTACTACTATTTCGCCCCTAGCCACAAAAACACCTTCATAAAATTTACTAGCTCTCTGTCGCAACCCCATAGAATAATTAACCGGCCATTTTATTTGGCAAAAATCAGAATAATGCTTGGATATGCCTGTAAAGTATCAAGATGTCAACTGTGATGTGTGAAGGGCTCTTAAATGTCAAATTATTTAAAAATGTATGCTTCTTTTGATAATTATTGCAAATAATTTGTAGTGTATTTCAATTCAGGCTTTCCATAAATAAAGGTACAGCAAGACAGATAATATAATGTTCTTATACAAAGCACTTTTTTATTATATAAAAGAGGGGTAGGATATAATATTGGTTTTTTATAGATAATTTTAATTATATGATTTTGGATTACATTAAGAAGTTGAAGTGCAATATCATATAGTCCCCATTATACCATATTTCAAAATAGATTCAACCCGCGAATTGTAAATAATACCTAGTAAACTCCTAATCATAAATTTCCTTAATTCATAAAATTTACCTTGGGATTTTAATGACGTAATGTGATCAACCCATTTTAAATTTTGATCAATTATGATACCCGAGGTATTTTGTTGTGTTTTTTATTTTAATTATAAAGTTGTCATTTATTTGTAGAAGGCCTTTGTAAATTACATTGCTCTCTATGGATCTACTTTAAGGACAGCGTCTCCTAGGAATTTCTGAACAAAATTATGTCAATTTAGATTCAATCAAGGAGGTGCTGTTACCTACCGACTAGAGATTGAATTAGTGCAAATTATTACAGAAATCTTTAAGTAACTATAAATATCGACCGACTAGCTATTAGGGGATATTGTATTATATTGTATCATAAACCGGTTTTAAGTAGACTGAGTTCGAAGGATCATAATAATAGTCCTGAACATAAAATCTATTTTTCAATAATTGCCGGGATTTTACCAAATAAAAAAAAATTATTTCGCGATTGTGTAAACGGTCCAATCGTTTTATATGCCATTTATAATATAAAAATGTTAACTCTAGGACTCATTTTGGAGTATGAGCATACTTTATTTCAATACTTTTATTGTACTGTTTCATAAAGTATTACCTACCTATTACATTTTATTTTTATCGAAAATTGACTTTGTTTGCTGGACCAAAGTAAAGAATGTAGGTAGGTATTATGCAGATGGCAACAACAAAAACGATATCTTGCCTCACATTAAATATAAATATTTGCTAAAACAAATAATTTGGTTTATTTACGGGTAGCAATACGAGGGATGTTTATAATTTCAAGTCACGAATATAGAGTCGTTTCAAAATATATTGCCACAATAATTGGATCACGTTGAGTCAGAGTGGGACGCTTGACGTGTCGCAATTCGCAATATATTTTAAAACTATTCTACCTAATTAATAAATTGTGATTTTGAAGTATCGAATGAAAACTATATTCTCATTGGTTAAAGATGGAAGTTTTTGTCATTTGAATGTTCAAGAATATTAATTATGATTAATTAGTTAAATACCGAAGTTATCTGTTATCTGATGTTGGTACTAACCTAATGTTTTTGGGTAATTTTGACTGTCATTTCCTGGAATTTCCAGGCCCGCATAAATATTAATCCTATTAAAGTACAAAAACCCTACAATAGATATTATGAGTAGGTATTTAACATTTATTTATCTTATCTTATCTTAGGTAGTTATTTCCTAGAAACATTTCACTGATGGTCAATAACACATTACCGTATATCTGTGCCAATATGACGTCACGACTTTTAATATACTTAATGAAGGCTGGGGGAAGGAGTTAAGAGTCTATAAATTTACAAACAAGCTTACAGGTATTTAGTTTTCAAAATTACATTACACGTTTCTGAAGTGTTTTATTGTGCTGTTTGTTTTTAATAAGTGTTATTTTCTTTAATAGAAAATTGATTTATTTGTGCCAAGTGTCCTAGTGAGTTTCATTGTACATTTTAATCAGTTTTATTTTTGGATAAATTGACATCGACTTCCTGCATTAAAGGTAGGTAGCATTTTTTTTTCTATCACTCTCGAGTTCGTCATTGAATAAAAAAATTAAACGCTATAATTTTAACATTCAAATATTTGCAATTAAAAAATAATATTACGTATTAAAATTGACAATAAAAAAACTTGTTATTTAATAATAATGTTTCATTATTCTGAATATATTTTTTCTACGATCAATATCCAAAGTAGGTAGGCTTTTGTACATTAAAATCTAAATAAAAAGTTAACGTTTTCTGCGAATTGTCATAATTTGACATTATTGGCGCACATTACCTAATATTCAAACCCATTTCCATGCTTAAAAATAGAAGATGGTGACATTCATTTAAAAGAAAACCATAACTACTTTTACCAGAGGTGAAAAATTTCAATATGTTAAAATAATTCATGATTTTTAAGAAATGTGCTAGAAATGATACTACAATATTAATATTCTTTTTATGTTTGATTTTCTAATAATGATTTTATATACTTTTAGATTCAAGGACAGCTAGGTATAGCTCAAAGAAAATTGTGCTACTTTGTAGTATATACTGGAGATGAAAATCCACTATTTGTTGAAAAAATTCATTTTCAACCCATTTTTTTTTTTTTTCAAAATATAGTTGAAAAATTAGAAAAATTTTACTCGGAATATATGGCACCTGAGATAATTTTAAATAGAAGAGGACGAGGATTAAAATGTCTGGATACCCCATATAATGAAACTTAAAGTGCAAAGATTAGCAAATTTATAAAAATAATAATTTAATGGACTTTAATGATACAAGTACTTGAAATAATGGTTTTTTTTGCGCAGAAGCATGTTCATACGTAATTTGCAATTGGTAATCACAGATGGAAAAGTATATACGTCAACGATATGTTCTCTTATTTTTGATTTATTTTAACAGGTATAATATATGGTATGTTACTTATGGTATAGATTTTTTTATTTCTCGACCTAATTTATTTGTTACGTCTTCAGCAATTATTGCTTTCAGTTGACAAACGAAATTGATAAAAAGTGTTTTTCGCATTTTATTTTGACTGTTTCTCTTACTTTCGAATAGAAACTGAGCTTTGTAAACATAAAATGACGGATATGTCAAACTAAAACTGACGGTAAAATGAAGTTGATAAATAACCGATAATCATACATCATATAACAAATAGGCGCGTGTCAAAAGGTCACCGGCGAAAAAAGAGTGCCGATGAAAAAAGGTCGTTTCCAATTGTATCATATAAACAGTATCAGAGGCAGTATTATCATCTCGTATATCCCCCGTAAACACACATAATATAAACGGAAATAATCAAATACTAAGGTTTGTTCCAACAACAATTTTGGGACCATACATAAACCAGTCCACAACTTATTGTCGACGACTGATAGTCGACGACCTGTCCACGACTTTTCGAGGATTGGGACGCGATTCGAAACTTGGATGTGTTGGAACACATTTTTGTGTTGTCAAACACACTCTGTTAATAACGTCAAAGTAAAACCAAATTTAACAAATGTAAAATTTCGAATTTGGGAAGAAAAAAAATTATAAATCTCATGAAAAGATTTATAAATTTTGATTATTCGATTTTTAGAGTTGGTGGTGGTTTATTTACGAGCTCACTTTCGTTTTGCGCATATCTTGACAATTCGTTCATATTCACACCCAGGGCACCTATCCTCGACTAGTGCGTTTAAGCGCTCGCTTTGAAGAGATGCGAGCGGTTCAATGCGAAGACGCATTAAAAACCGTATTCTTAACCCTTCGTATATGTACCTTCGTAATCCTCTTTTATAAATGCGAATGGCAACTTGGCAACCATGTATGATCGACGATTATTTATGTTAAATTATCTGCTAGAAAGGGGAGCCAAAGTTCACACCGCTTGTTTTGTGACAATTATTCGTAAAAAAGAAGCAATATTAATATGAGTAATGGTTTTGAGCATGAAGTCGTGGTTTTGGGTTGTTTTTTGATGTACTGTTTGGCTATACATAGTTTGCAGCGTTATAAAATGGAAAAATTAGT